GGCCATGTGGTTTCTATCACAGCTATTCAGCTCTACCATTGCAATACCACATGAAAGCAGCCTCAGTTGATGCAGAAACAAATGGGTGTGGCTGTATGCCAATAAAACTTTATTTATAAAAACAGGTGGCAGGTGGGATTTGCCCCACTGGCTACAGTTGCCAAGTCCTGGTCTAAAGCCCAATGACTTTAATTCTGTAAAGTTCTCAGCCATTATCTCTTTAAAAACTATTCTTCTACCATTTCCTCCTTCCTAGATTTTTTTTTGTTTAAAGTTTCTATTAGATAAAAGTTAGTCTCAATCTATCCTCCATGATTTTAATTGCTCTTCCCAGTTTTTTATCTCTGTGTCTCTCTGTGATGAATTTTAAACCAGTTTATCAGCTTCCTCTTCCAATTCACTAATTCATTTTTCATTTGGGTTCAGGATGACCAATTTCCCAGTTTGCACTGTGTCCATATCCTGGAAACCTTTCTGTTCTAGACAGGTCAGGACAGTTGCTCACCTTGAGTTCAATGCAGATTTTATCCTGTCTACTGAGTTTTTGTTTCAATGATAAAATTTTTATTTCTAATTTTTTGAATTGTTTGTTTCTCTTTATCATATATTCTTGCCTAATTTCTGCCTTTTTAATTTCAAATATTCTTATATTCTCCTTTGGATATTACTCTATTTTTTATTTTTTGGTGGATACTAAATTCTTAAAGTCATTTTCAGACTGTTCTATTGTTCTGATTTAATTTGAAATAAAGCCATATTTTAATTGTTGATTTTTTTTGGTGTGCTATTGCTTTTTAACAGTTTTCTTCCTATGTTTTGGAATTTTGTGTTATAGACAAATTTTGAGAAGGGTTTGTTGACAGCTGGTTAGTTTTCTTTTTCTACCTACCTTCACAGCCCTCTCTCTAGTGCTGTGCTCATTTCTACTATTCCTTCCTGAGGCCTCCAGCCCAGAACCACATCTATATTGCCAGCTGGGTGATCCAGGCCCACAATTATACTGGAAATTTAGCATATTAATTAGTAAGCCAACTGGTATTTTGGCCTAGGTCCTGGCTCTGGGGCTGCCTCTAGTTTAGGGTTTCTCAACCTCAGCACTTGTGTGCACTGTAGGATGTTTGGCAGCATCTCTAGTCTCTACCAACTAGATATAAGTAGCACCTCCCCACCGCCCCTGCCATTGTAACAACCCAAAGCATTTTCAAGTATTATAAAATGACCCTTGGTGCAGGGGTAGGGGGCAAAAATCTTCCCCAGTCAAGAATCACTGGTCTATTCCAATGCAATCTTAGCAGCAGATCATTTAGTCTCCTTTCATAGTGCTGAGGTGGGAAAAGACATGTCACTCACTCTCTGACCTTGGTTTCCTAGAGTGACCTTAGGTCAGATTTTCAGGTTACACCACAAGAGCTGAACTAACAAATCCTTCCATACTCTGAACCAACGGCTGCCTCTTCATCCTCCAGTCTCACTCACTGCCGTATGGTTCTGTTTTTTTTCTAAAATAGAAAAGTCTATCTTCTTTTTGAGTGTAGCTATCTTTAAAGTCTTCTCATTTCATATCCAATCTGTCACTGACAGGCATTAGGCCAGTGAGAGCCATAAATCTTTAGTTCACTGATCAGAAGTTGATCCCTCTTCTCCATCCCTTTTCCCTCACTTCCCTTTAACTCCATATCTTTCCTTTCTCTTTTCTATCCTTGATCAGTAGTAAATCAACAAGGTAACGGAAATGCATCAGCATCAGGGGTGATGAAATATTGGGGGAATTAAATCAGTTCCTTCTAGGTCTCTATCACCACCCTTCACCCCTACTCCAACCTGTTAAGACAGTCGTTCTCAAAGTGTGCTCCCCAAACCAGCAGCATCAGCCTCACCTGAGAACTTAAAAGAAATTCCTGGGCTCCACTCAATACCTGCTGAAGAAGAAATTGTGGAGGTGGGGCCCAGCCACCTGTGTAATAACAAGCCCTCCAGGTGGTTCTGACACAGGCTACAGTGTGAGATCCACTGTGCTAAGACTTAGCTAAAGAGGCTTTGGATCAGTGGTTCTCACCCTGGCAGGACATTTAAACTACCTGTTAAATTTTAAAATACACAGCTATTTGAGCCCCACCCCCAAAGATTTTGATCCAGCTGGCCTGGTGGCTCAGGAACTTTTTTTTTTAACTCCCCAAATAATTCAAATATCTAGTCAAAGTTTGCTTTAGTTATTCATTGACTGCTTAGCCCATTTTGATCATCACTAATGGTAGTGTTTCTGGAATTCAAAGAGAAAATCAGTAAACTTTTAGTGAACAAAGTTTAAAATTATTTATTCTAGAGCTGGACTTCCTGGATTTCAATTTCATTTCCATTCATTCTCAGCTATGTGACTTTTGAACAATTTACCCTCTCTGTGCCTCAGTTTCTCCATATGTAAAAGGGATAAATTTTGTACCTACCAAATAAGGCTATTATAAGGATTACATGGGTTTATATGTGAATATCTTCAGAATAATCACACAGTAAAAAATGGCACACAGTAAAAGCTATACAAAATTTTTTCTAAAATATTTTGTAAGTAAAATATGGGAAAATTCTGCAAAACAAACCTAACTCAAAATAAGTGTCTTGGGAATGGGAATTTTAAAAAGTGTTTAAAAATATTTTTTATATTGGGACCTTTTGCTTTATAAGACCCACTTTCCCCCAAAATGCTATATACTTTTTTAAACCATTGATAAAAATTAACTTTTTTCATAAAAATTTTCAGAATTTTACTATATGACTTTTAAAACTAGCTAGTGGAATTGTAAAACCACAGTTCAGAATTATTCTATACTATTCTATACTCAGATTTAGCTACACTATACTACTACTCTATACATTATTCTATACTCAGATTTAGCTACAAAATCTGATTAGCTAACAGTGAATTCAATATTTGTGTAAGTCCTGGCAGAGATTAAAAGATGTGGAATTGAAATAAACATCTGCTGAATTTGATCTATGACAGACATTTTGACCAAAGAATTTGGGTGAAATCTTGCAAAAAACACTTTTGTAGACATTCAGGAGGCTTAATATACATAAATACATTTTGATTTGACAATGTATGGACATATTCCAAAAGAACTGCTTGTAATTTCATTACAACTTTGAAAGATAAGTAGTTAAGTTTACTTTATCACAAGAGGACATTCACCCGAGAGACACTAATTTTATCACATGTACCCACAACTGCATGAGACAGCATTTCAGGGCTGGGTGGAGTTTTTTTCAATTGCAGAGCATAGCTACCCACCACAATAGGGCTGAGACACACACTGCTCAAGTTAGTCACCTAAGAGGCAGGGGAGTGGGAGGTGGGGAGTTTCAAAACTACCTGTTAACTGTCAAGCAAACAAAGAAGAAAGTCTGCTAGGGTGGAATTGTAACTTCTAATTTCTAAGCAAATTCCACCTGTAGCTACTGAGCATGGCTCGTGCAGATGGTTTTGATTCTCACATGTAAATGTTAGCCAACCTGAGCAAGTATTATTGAATTTGATAAGCAAGACAAGGAAAGAGGGAGGGACTTGCCAGAAAGTAGCCAGAATAACCATGTTGTGATGGTGATGGTTAATTAGGCATGAAAAACCATATATAATATTCCATACACCTTGATTCTTCTACACCTCTATTTTTCTCACTTTTCTATCCATCCACATCGTAAGTCCTTCTATTTAATTTATAAGCCACACACACCAAAAAAAAAAAAAAAAGTGGGCTGCTAGCACATTCTTGGGATATGATGTTAGACCTACCTCTTGATCAGTAAGAAAACTGGTTTCTCTTTTCTTTGAGCTCATCACAGACAAGTATTCAATCCAGACGTGGGGAAATAATGCTTTCTTGGGCAGGTAAATTGGAAAAACTAGAAACACACCACATCTTTGCATTTGTAATATCTTATCAATGTTACTGTTTCCATTGTTAAGACCTATATTTAACAGAATGGCTATAATTACTGTATCAGTAAATACTTGTAAATAAAGATTACAGTGCATTGTGTTAGTTTTTCTAACAAATGTGTGCCTTTGAGTGCCCTGGACCCCTAGGCAGTGGAGACAAAAGGAGAGATGCTCCTTACAAAAGGACTCCTTGGAGCTAGCAGGCTGAGTGTGGAAGCCTTGTTTGGACAGTAAATTCTCCCTTTTCTCAAGTTCTCTGGGTAGCTCCCCTTCTCCTTGTTGCCTCCCACACACTGAGGCTGGGTCAGTCTCCACTATCAGACCTATTCATTTATCTTACATAAGCCCACCTTACCTGCTCAGTTTCTGAAAACATTGGAATTGGTGGGCCCAGGTCAGATAGTTTCCCTTTCTGGCTTTAATATTCTATGAGTGAAATAAGGTATATAGTTCTGGATACATAGAAAGAGTCGGGGAAAGGTTTGGTGAACTTTGTCCTCTGGGTAGGCACCGGATTTGGGACATGTTTGGATTGGAAGTAGTGTCTAGGGACAGAAAATAAGATCAGACTGAAATGCATAACAACCTGCTGGGAGGTTCTGGACTAGTCTTAAATACGTGTGTGTGGAAAAAATTCCGAGTGGTTAAAATCTGGTATCAAATAGGATATTGATGTCTGCATCTTACTTTGAAATGCATTCCCCACAAAGTGAATGAATAAATGGATAGATGTGATAAACTAAAAGCAAATACAGGCGGTTCCCAGGTTACAGACGAGATATGTTCCTGAGAATATCTTTAGGCCAGATTTGCATGTAACTTGGATCCCTGATGAACGGCACACATACGGTAATGATAATAATACTACAACGGCTCACATGTGGTAATAATAATACAGTGTAATACTGTAGTAATAATAATACTCCTATACTGTAATAAGTTACAGAAACTATTATGTTCTTCCTTTTAATTCAAATAAACAGAACAAAAAAACAAACTCACACAAAAAAGTTGAGATAGGAGATAGGAGAAATTTCAAAGGCGAATATTAAAGGTTGACACTCACCTAATGTGGCATCGATGTCTTGCTCACTGGAAGGGGCATTTTTGAGGCTCAGGCTAACACTTCGTCACAAGGTGATGGAGATGGTGCAGGTGCTGGGAGATCAGGATTTGATTCTGTTGCTGGAGGAGGGGAGCTTACCACTGGAGCCAGTGCCTTATGAAAGGTTCCTACGGTTGTTTGCACGGCCTTTTTCTTTTTTTACCTCATAAATGGCTCTGTGGCAGCTAACGTTCTCACTCACTGCACGGCAAACATTGTAAACCGCTCAAGGTTAGGCTCTTGCTCCTCAAGCTTAGCAAATCCTGCTTCTACCAGACTAAAGGCTTCAGCTAATGCTTTTGTCGTAAACCTTCTTGGCTCTGCGTCTTCCTCACGTTCTTCTGTTTCCCTGAGCCGCTTCCCTACCTCTGAGGCCGGCGCTGCGAGAAGATGCTGCGCGGACGCACCGCGCAGTCATGCAGGTTCGTCTACGTGCGCGGAAGAAATTAGTTCCCAAAATATTAGTTTAATTATTTAATTACAAATTATCCTTATGGGACGCCTCAGGAGCCCATTTGTATGTACAAAAACGCCATGAGTCGGATCATCTGTACCCCAGAGACTGCCTATATAGCAAGATGCCAACAGTTGTACAATCTAGATGGAGGTATGTCAATGTTCTTTTTCAATTTCAACTTTTGTATGTGCTTGACATTTTTTTATAGTAAAGTGTGGGGGCAAGTTTGAATGTCAAATAGACTGGGCAAATGGAAGTAGGAAGTGTAGTACAATACTCTATTTTCTATATTCTTAACCAGTGCATTTATACAGCCCGCTTTATCCACTAAATGAAATGCCAGCAATAAATCTTTTCCCCTTGGATATAAATAGCTTTCTCCTCTTAGAAAAATGAGATGCATGTGATGATAAATTTCTCCAAAAATACGAGAAGATGTAGAGGAAGTAAGAATCCCACTGTCTGATGAAAACCACTATTAACAGTTTAGTAAACATTTTTCTAGACGTATCACTACACAACGTATAAGACTTTTCTATATCTGACTCTTATAGCTGTGCTTGCCCTACTTCTCCTCCACTTTCCCCTCTTCCATATCGGGTATGACACTTTCTTTAATGCTTGGCTCCAAGTTTCTTCTTTCATGAAAACTTCCACTTTTCACTATCACCTAATCTAATCACTCTTGATTTGGCATGTCCTGCCTTCAGCATTTCTCTTGTCAATGCCTTGACATTCTCATCAAGCACCTTTAATATTCAGATGCAGTTTATTCCCAATTATTTTGCATCCCATGATGCCATCTTACATACCTTGAGCTGCCAATGTATGTTTGCTGTCAGGCTAATAACTTTACAAAAGTCTGATCTGACTAAAGTAAAACCATGCTTCTAACTTAATAAGTAACTACACCAGGGGTCCTCAAACTTTTTAAACAGGGAGCCAGTTCACTGTCCCTCAGACCATTGGAGAGTGCGGGCATTGTGGGCCGGGGACTAGTCAGCTGCTAAACAGGACAGGCAGCAGTGGCCAAAACACCCAGCGGGCTGGATAAATGTCATCGGATACCCAGGTGGCCTGCAGGCCTGTGGTTTGAGGATGCCTAAACTACACAGTTTAAAACAAAATCTTCCCTCTAGATAGAAATGAGGATATCCATGCCAATCCATTTCTGTTAATTTAGGGAAACACTGAGGTCGTATTTGTTACACATGGAATTGTTATTTCAGAAAATATAAGCCATCCTCAGCTCATCCTGTTTCCACTTGGATGTTGTCATTGCCAGGTCCCAAGGGCTCAGAATGAACGATAGGCACAATCTCTGAAGAGCAGGGGAGACTCTGGGGCCCACAGATGGGTGTTGGCAGTGTTTATGCACATTTTTCTTTCATAGGCATAAAACTAGGTTTGGGGTCTCTAAAATGTGAAAAGAAGTATTCTTGCTCATATTTGAGAGGTATCTTTAATACATCTACTTCAAGGAGTTTCCATTAGTTTACCTTCTTGCATTGTAAATTTTATACATGATTTTCTGATTTTATAAACTTATCATGTTTATTCCCATTACAAACTCCTTTCAGGGAATCTCAAAGAATAGATAAATAGACAAGATAATCTGAGCTGTAAAAAGTGTATTTCTCTTTAGGAGTAGAAAAAAGAATTGTTTCTATCTTCCTCCTGCTAAGTATAGCATAATCCTGAGCAATATCAAGGTTTAAATCACTTTTCAAACTTTGTATTTTAGAAAGTAAGGAATATAATAACAGTAACAATAGATAACATTTTATTAAGTGTTCCTTAATTAAGTGTTCCTCCATGCCAGACACTGTTATAAGTATTTTTTAAATATCAATTCACTAAATTCTTACAGCAATCCTAGAAGATATACCACTTTTACTCCATCTTGTGAATCTGGAAACCAAGGGAGAGAGTTAAGTACTTATCAACCAAAAAGCTCTAAACCCAGACTGTTGGCTCCAGAGCCTATGCCTAAACTGTTCCACTCCTCTAGTTCTCTAGGGTAAAAAGAAAATGGCACTAACTTAGTCTAATGATTGAATACAAAGGAAACTTGCTGTTTCATAAACTAGTCTGAGTATGCCTATATCATTCTATGTGCATGTTACTAGGTTAGTACCAGATTATTAGTTAACCGTGTAATGATACTGTGAGCCCTTCTCTTAAGACATATGCTTTGACCTGTCTTTAAAAAGCTGGGATGAAGTTACACTGATTGATTTTTTTCTTCCTTGCCTGTTCACATCTGTACACAACAGATTGCATGTGTGTATGTGTTATCCAAAATATATTAAAAGAAATTTGAAAAGAAACACATCCACAATAGCAATTTCCCTTGTATCATGTGACCATTCAATCTTTAAGTATATACATTTTATGAAATTATCCTAGCATGTTTTCACTTAAGGTTAATCATAAACACTCTTCCATGTTGCTACCCACTGTTCATAATCCTTTTAATGACTATAACACATTCTGTAGTTTTGTTGTTTTTAGATTATCATATATTATGGCTCTCTTTTCAGCCATCTATATTTTATTTTTGTATCATCATACCAGTTACATTGTGATTTTATAATATACTCTAATATTCAATAGGGCTGGTCTCCTTCATCCCTTCCATCATTGCCCCTCTTTTTCACAATTTTTATTGATCTCCTTATCCATGTATTTTTCTGAGTAAGTTTTATGATAATTTTATTTAGTTCTTAAATTATAGCTCTGATTCCAATTATATTTCTCTCTGTGTCAAAAACAATTGACTAGTTTACAATATCTATCTTTCTTTTTTAGTAATGCTCTGTATAGAGTTCAATTTACTTTTCACACTTTGCCCTGCAGGGATTTTTCTGCTTACTCAAGTAGCCTACATATTCTCAGAATGACTTTTCAGGTCAGAGCATGGTCTGGCCAGGGAGTAGAGAGCAGCCTCTACAGAGAATAAAGTCATCCCACAGTAAAACTCTAGTTCCAGTTAAAACCGTTTCCCCTCTGACTAATGAGCTAATTGGTTTCTGGGAATGAAAATTTCTTCATTTATTTTTTGTACTTATTGTCATTGTTGTTATTGTCATTCATTTTAACTTTTCCCTTTCTGTGGTTTATAGAGTATATCAACTTATAAAGTGTTCAGAAATGAATGTTCCTCAGATTTTCATGCTCTAAATTAAGCAATTCCTTCAGGATCAAATACTAGTTCTTATTCTCTCAGGAAACACTCTTGCAAATCACAGGCCTCTTTCTGTCAGTTTTAAAAAAAAAATTTTAAACAACACATCACCCAAGGTTTGCATGAAATACATTCACCTACAAGGCATGTGAAATATTTTCTTCATATAAATCTCTTCAGAGGTTGCTATAAATCATCTGAAATGCTTACATGGAAGTGATGACTAATATTTTGACCATTAAATTGCAAAATGGAACACTCACAAATCACATGATGCTATCTTCGAGCTATTAATATTTAGTTTCTTTATTAAGGTGTCACCAGGATAAAACATTTCTATGTATCAGGAGTGGTTGTTGTGGAAAACTCAAGGGTCCCTAGTCTTAAGAAGTCCACCATTTTTGTTTTCTCCTGAAAACAGAACACTACATCACTTTTAATGGTTTTCTAAACACTTTCCAACACTCGTAGCATAAAGCTCACCCAAGAAGTTTCTAGAGATCACCCCAGAGGTGACAAGACAAGATCTCACCTGCCTTCCCATCCCCTAATAGAGTGATTGCTGGACCATGTAATTTATAAAATGAAATCCAAAGGACCCTCATCTTCTACCTGCTTTCAAGAAATCCTGCCACTTAACACAAAAGGGAAAAGCAAACAAACAAAAACATGACACTTAATATTTTTAAAAGGAGGTTCCAGACACTTTGGTGGTGATTTTTTGTTTCATTTTGTTTCAGAAAATCTATCCTGGGTAATATTCCAAAAATGTTTCCAAGTTGGCAAAACTGAGAATCTTTTTAGTGGCATTTTGACAGTTTTCCCTTGATTTCTGAAATGCCATTCCACCTTGCTCCTCCTCCCTATGCCTTTGGCAATTCCTTCTTAGTTCCCTTTGACTTACACCTTCCAGTTTGGTAGTACACAAGGCACCGCCTTTGCTTCCTATCACTCTGCCTGCCTCCTCCCAGGCATTCCCTGTCTCTCTAAAGGCTCCAGCTACTAACTAACCCTCTGCAGATAACTCTCATGTCTGGCATCTCAAATGCCACCTGACCCAAAATGAAGTCATCATCTTCCCTTAAATCTGTTCCTCCTCCTATATTCTCTATAACTTGCTGAGTGCAGCTACCATCTTCTATGTCATTTTATATTTCTACATTGCCACTGGTGCCCTGGCATCCAAGTTATAAACATACACACGGCCATATTCAACTCCAACCATATTCAATGGGCTATTTTCAGAATTCAGGCTCTTATCCTTGCTGACTGGACGATTATAGTCTTGCATCTCACACTCTTGAAATTCATCCTCACTCTGCTACTGGAATGGTCTTTCTAGGCACACATCCAGTTATGTAACTTTCTGGCTTCAACCCTTCAGATGGCCCCTGATGGCC